AGGTTTCGAAACATTGTACATACTAAGTTGCCATGTTTGTATGATTATCTAATTCGGTGTACATTTTGCTCGTCTCGACAATTTTCTTCGTTTCATTATCTAAGTCGACTTATTTGCAGGAAACGCGTATATCTTTCATTCAAATATACTCCCTAAACGTTATCGCGCAGATTAGTATCTAACGATAAAAGCTAACCGCCATCTCGCTTACGGTTCAGGCGAAATGATTTATGTAATTCAGTGTAACTTCGATGCGTAACATAAACGAAATTATCGTCAGCGTGAAAATCGACGTCGAGAGCATTTTACGAGATCCTTTTCGAGCTTTTCTCCGTCGAGGAGAGTGACGAAGCTTTTGCAAGTGTGGTATTATTATTGAAACGTTATTCGCGTCTTTTATCACGCGTGGGACAGGAATACAAATTTTTTTATCACGTAAGATACGAGCAAACAACGATAGACCTGTATCTTGCATTGTTAATTCTCGAGATTTTCGGTTGGAAACGAATGGAAAAATTGTAGCTACTCTACGTAGATTGTGTCACGCACACTAACTAATCGTAAACTAAGATCGTAATAGTCGATGAATTGTCGTATGCTGCTGTTGGGATAACTTGTGAGTAAATGAACACATTTAGCAAGAAAGAAGGAAAATTTAAGGTTAAGGCGAGTAAGGTTAAATTTTTGTCGTTAAACTTGTAATATATTAAACTAATTAACGTGATAGTTACACGCACTGTGGATGCCGGGTCAAATATGACCCAATGCTGAAATATATTTTTATTTTACCAGGCATTGAAATAGCAAACATATTTATAACATAGAGAGAGGAGAGTCGTGTCTCTGTTTCGAATGCCGTTTCAAGCAAGAGACGTCTAAATGCCGGGTCGGCGGTGAAGTGACGGGATGACTTGTAAATAAACGAGTACGTTTAACAAGAAAGAAGAAAAATTCGACAAAAGAACGATACTCGACTTCAACGCGTTAATAAATAAAATTTGTTAGCAAAATTAATTGAGCAAATATCGATACACAGGACCGCGTATTTGCATGTCGGAATTTATTAAGTTCCTCCTCTGAACGGCACATCCGCTCTTTTGTCAACGTTCTCAATTATTCTGCGCTCTTAAGCGATTTTGCCAACGCGTCTTTCACCTGTATCTAATCACGGCGCAATGAGCTACGCGGATCTAGCGATTGAAATCGAGAAGGACGGAAAAAGATGTAAAAGCTCGTGAAACAGAGAAGGAGAACTGGAAAAGTATAGAGGCGATAGGAAAGGGAGGGGGGACAGAATGGATAAACTGGGAGAGAAAAGTATGGAAATAAAAAGCGATTGGCTATACTTAGTCGAGAGAAAGAAAGAGCAAGTGGTAGAAGTAGAAGTGAAGAAGGTGTGTAAAAAAGGTGGAGAATCGAAATAACTGACATAAACGAGGTATGAAATATAAGGGGGAAAAATGAGACGGAGAACGAGCGAAAAGAAAAGAAGGTACCTTTAAAGGAGGAGGGGGCCGACGTCATTTCAGTCGTCCTCCCGGATGTGCAGCATCATTACACGGCATTCTTCGAGCCTGCAAGATCTTCCTTTCTTTCTTCCTTCGGTCCATGCGTTGACGTAACCGCAACAAAACAAATTCCTCTTCTCGAGACGCGAGATCCTCGGAGTTCGGTCTGGTTTCGACCTATTTAAACAACCTTTACAACGAAACATTTCCCAAAAGTTACAATTTTTTCGAAATTTTTTATTCTTTCCAACTAGTAGATGTTTCGCATCCTTTCACCGCGCGCACATCCTCGAATTGCGAGATCAAGTAGAGACGTACGAAGAATTGCACAGTAACTTTAAGCGCGGTGTTAAAATTCTTCTTTTCAAATTTCTTCCCGTATATTATTTTTTTCTTTTTAAGCATGACACACAGGGTTAAGGCGAATGTTATTCGTCCAGCCGGATTTTCCGAAGCTTGTCAAGCAGCAAAAAGGTTCCCGAGGAAGCGTAACATTAATCATGGCACAGGTATGTGCGAGGACTCGAGGTCGAAATCTTTTTTTTTTTTTTTTTTTTGAAAGAACGATGATCCACAATGGACTCCTCGGAATCCTCCCTGCTTACGTTTATGTCTGATCGACCGAAGAAAGGATCTTCCTGAAAAGTTACCGGCTCCTTTCTACCCTACTCGGAGATCTATTAAATCTTAAACTCAAATTCCAAAGGATCTTGTTCTAAAAGAACCACCGACACAATATTTTTCGAAGGAAAAGTTTGAATATCCCAGCCTCGGACTTGTGTCAAAAATTTTCTTTTTTATCCAGCTGTCGTATTTTTACCATTGTCATTGCTATTATTATACACTGCAACGCTAGATTTTAAGCAATGCTATCTAATACTCTGTGACATTTATTTACAATCAAGGGATTCGAAATGAAATGAGCTTTCTCGTTAGTGAAACAGCGTACGAATATAGAATCTCTCACTCAACGTTTCTGGTTAACGATGAGTCAACTGTATGATTGACAAAACGTTCGATATCTCCTTTTTCCCTTTCTCTCTCTCTCTCCTTTTTTCCTTTCGTAGGATCCTAAATAAAAAAAAAAGGAGGAAAAAAGAGGCAGAAGGGAAAGATCAAGCATCAGAATCGGTGGTACTCATAAGCCAGCCAAGATATAACAGGTAAAACAGGTTTGTGGGCGTCCAGAAACGTGGGCTACCTGCATCGGTTCTCGAAGGGGTCCTTCTTCAAACTCGCCTGCCGATTCTTGCGGAAGAAAACCGAAGAAAGGGGAGAAACACGGCACCTATGCACCTGTTCTTTAAGTAATGACGATTAACGTCTCTAAAATACCGCTCCGTGATTTTATCTTCGAAGAAATTGTCACGCAGAGGAAAATGGAGATTCTCCCAGTGAAATCATCGTGGTAGTCGGAAATTTTTAATAACAAATTTCTGCGAAAAAACATGATTGGTAGAAAAAAAAAGTTTTGACTTCTAAACAAGATTTTTCCACTGTTTAATTAATAAGAATTTCGTTTTTCCTATTAATTAACGCGAAATGAAGTTGAGTTGGTATTTAAAATAAACGATAAAAAAGGGAAAGTAATTGATTGCGCAAATATTTGTTCGCTACCTTGGAACTCCTTACAAAGAAATGTTTAATAATTTCTGTAATAACTGAGAGTAAGAGAGGGAGAGATTTTTTTTTAAGGTTGTCGTAATATCGACTTGTTATCTCTTATCAGCTTATCAGAATTAGTTGACTTGATTACTTCCCGTCAGATTTGGTGATCTAACATTCTGCCGAGTCTACTGAAAATGAAACTCGAAAATTCCTTCTGTTAAAAGTGAGTCGAATCTTCTTTGAATTACCCCGTTAGTAGTTCGATAACCTTTGATCACTCCTTGTTCACGACTTTATCCTTTCGATCGCTTTTTTTTAGCACGTACAAAACCTTTACTACGTAATAAAACATTCAGCTATCTATATTTACTCAAAAGTAACAAAATTTAGTCTTTTTCTCGTTCACGGAAATATCGTGGTTTATATGCAATGCAGGAACTAGCAACTTTCTCCGATGAATGTAATATTTCTGTAATTCACGTAGTTAAAAAATTCCCATTATTCAAAATTTTCATAAAAAGTCATCGAATTCGTCGGCTGAATTCTCAGTCTTATTTTCAAAGTTAGTAACATTCATTTTATACAAGTTAACGCGACAAGTATAATGTTAATCTAATTGTAAACGATTCGGTTTGTACATTATAAATCAAACGTTCGTTTTTGAAGAATTTTGAAAAAAGAAATACGAAATTTAGATGAATCTAGGTGTAATTTATATTTATCGAATGAAATTAGAAAAACAGATTACATATTTCGATTACAATCCGAAAAACGACTCGACCTCAAGAAGACATTTGAGCCCGCAAAGAAGCAGGTCCGCGACGACAGCCAGGATTGCGATTACGAGGAAGCTACGAGGAAGTCGGTAAAACCCCCACTAACGTCCCATGGTATTTCCCACTCGATTACAACGCTTCGATTATTTCCGTTCGCGCCGTATAACCGGCTATCTATCTGTCCTCGTTCGACTCGAAGGGTCACGCGTTCCGGTGGTCCATTTGTCTCCGTTCGTCGAACGCGTAATACGGCGCGGCAGGCCGCGCGCATGCGCGGTGTCGCCAGTCTCTCGCGGCATGCCAGAGAGGAGTGGGGTGCGTGGCGGCAAGCTTCCAGCGCAGATCGCGACTTGCGGCTCAGTCGCTCGTCAACTCCGAGATTGAGTGGGCTTGTTTCGTGGTGTGCTCGTCATCGTGGCTTTCAAAGCTTGCGAGAAGTATCGAATCGCATCGTGTCCGAGGTGAAAGGAGATCCGTTTCGTGTTCCGCGTTCTCCTCGAATCCGTCTACTGCTCTCTTGCGAACCTCTAATAACCTCGTCTCGATAAGACTCGGTGAGAAAAAGACAGTGCGAGAAGGAGGGAGAGTGATTCGAATAGTGCCAACTGTGATACACAGCCGTCTAGATAGGCTCTGTGATATACGCGTACACATGGATATTTCGATACCTCTGGACTTTTCTTGTACGAATACCAAAGGCGTAAGATATCCGCGTTAAGATATCTAAACCTTTAACTGTTTCATCGTGGATTCTACTTGAGTGCAAAGATAAGCCGAAATCTACACGATTGTTCGAGGATATTGGAATAGAAGTATATATAAGTACGTACAGGAAAGTGCGAAGGAAAGAAAAGGAAATCGAGGGAGGGAGAGGGAGGAAAAGAGAAGAGAAACGGAAGAAAAGATACACGTGCGCGTGGTCGGTGTCTCGAGGATACCTGTGGATGCCAGGCTGGAGTCTCGACGTAATAGGGCACGGATTTCTGCCCGATGACTGCCAAGGAGATTCATTTCTCCTCGCTAGCCGATCTCCAGCATTGTTATTAGGCCGCATCAAACGATTTATCGGCTAAGCCGCAAATTGAGGTAACGATCCCTTACTTCCTTAATCCTTTTCTTATCTGAACTTCCGTATAGTGTCCACTGTTATGCTTGTGAATTTTTTTTTCTTGTAAACATAGCTATTTAAATGGCCGCACAAAGATAATGATCGATCACTTTATTGATTTCACGTGGTCTGTTGCGTAATTATTTTCCTTAATATTCAACAGTGTACGTTATGAAAGTATATCTTTTTTCCTAGCTTTAACTTTTTCGGAATTCAACTTTTCACGTATCTCTCTCCTTTTTCTGGTAATATGAAAGTTACTCGTTCATTTGCAAAATGATTTCCTTACGAAAAAATTGTTTAGAAGTTACCATATTGTTTACAAGTTTTCTGAAATTACGTTTCTGTTTACGCTATAATTTTACTATACCGTGCTAACATCTTTATACTACACGAACTGAAATCTTATTCTCTAGAGATAGATATTTGTGATTTTCTTTTCACGCGGACCTTTCTAACGGGCAGCTATAATTTCAAAAATGATTTCACGAAAATTTTTTATTTTTTTTTTTCTTATTTTAATCGAGATTTAAGGCGTCTATGGACTTGTTTTAGTCGTTGTAGACAACTTATCTTGCTTTGTTTAGCAAATTCAGTGTGAAACTTAATATTTTTAGAACTGCAATTACAATCGTCAATATTCTTCAAGACTCGTTGATTTAGTTATTCAAATATTCTTTTTGACCGTCAATTAGCAAAATTTCGAAGAGCTCGACTTTCTTTCTACACATGTACGTTGACTGCAAGAATTCGACGAATTTCAATCGTACGATTACTTCATATTTTATCACGTTAAAATGGATAAGCTATGGAAATGATTTGCGCTTATTAAAAAGCCTTTTAGTTTTAATTAATGGTTCCGTTGCTTATGACCGTTATACAATTATTCATACAGTCATTCGTTTTATCTACTGTCTTCGTTTTCCGGAAGTAGCAGGAAAATAGAAAACATAGTATCATGTGAACGCTTAAAGCAATTTCTTGATTTTCCTTGTGTCTATTAACGAGTTTTGCATAACAAGAGTCGTTTTATATCATTGGAAGAAATTCGTAGAGCTGATAACTTATAATTATACGTGTCTTATCAGTACGAGGCGTATTAATCAAAATTTAGGCGCAACGTAAACAAACTTCCCTAGCGCTGTAATTTATTTTACGGCATGAAACTTCTTTCTATCTTCATTTACCCTCCCGTGCACAAAAACAAAGAGCGAATTAACGCAATCTAATTCTGTGAAATATGAAAAGAATCTTCGAAGTTTGAAATTTATTTAATTTCACTCGAATTCCAGTGAAGTTAGAGAAAAAAAAATAACGTTCGCTAGATCGGGTCATAGGTAACGGTAAAATGATGCAACAACCTTCTCATTCCCTTTGATATGTCAAAAAAAAAAAAAAAAAATATTTGAAACTCCATATAAATAAATGTAAAGGAGAGGAAAACAGGTTTAGGAAATATACTAATCATAAAAATAAACTGTTTACTTGTTTAAGTGAGCGAGAGAAATGAGAAACGATAAAAAAAAAGAAATTCGTAGTTTTATAACCTAATTGAGAAATTTCGCAAATTCGTAAATTTATAAACTAATCCTCACCGTGTTCGATTATTTGTAATATTATTATAAAATGAAATTCTATTTGAATAAAAAAGGAAAAAATTGTCTTCACTTAGACTCTTTGTCCCCTGTACCCATCAATTTCCAACTGTGTGAAGGATTTATGTACATCCTCCCTCCCACAGTCCGTCTCTCTTCCACTTATCCAGACACTTGCGCACGCGCAATCGCGCACACATATAGGAATAAGCCGAGTGTGCGGACGCGACGGCTAAGCAGAGCTGCTGTTGCTTACGCTCCTTGATCGTTATTCAGGAAGTTGCACGTTATCATTTACATAACACGTGAGCTCGAACAAAATCATGCATAATTCCTTCCTTCTTAGTGCGGCCGCGTTACCGCTTCTCCTCTCTCTTTCTCTCCCTCCTCCCTTTTTCTGTTTTGGAAAAACGAGGAACTTGTATCGCCTCTGTTCCACCAAAGTTACACTGCTCCCCGCAAATCTTTCAGGCAAGCGTCTTCTTTACCCACAGAGGCTCAGTCGTATACATTGACGACAGATCCGGGAATCTGTTTTCTGAAACTTCAACAAGTTACTTTTCGTTCAGACTGAATTGCGGTCACGTCACAAACTTTGAAATTCCTAAAACTATTCCTGAGAAACCTTGTTTACTGGTTTCATCGTTGAATATCGCCTTTTTTTTACGATCATATCGTAATATGCCGAACTTCAGTAATTGTAATTTTAATTTCGAAAAGCTTCACTTTCGTGTTTCTTCATTTTGACGCAACCTAACCTAAAACAAACGAGTGATCGTAACCTAAACAACGGCTAACGATTGAACGAATGAATAAGTTTGTTTAATTTTTAAGATAAATTTATGCCGTCATTCATTTCATGGTGTAAAAAGAGAAAGAAAAAACTAAGGAGGTAAAAATATTTGATCGAAAGGCTTTTACGTCCATTTTCTATCGCAGTTAAGAGAACTGATAAGAGGTTAAAGGGGAGAAACGGTGTAGAAGGAAGAGGAACTTGATGGCGAGGGTAGTGGGAGGGTGAGAGAAGGAAACCTTTCGAAAAGTAATTCCGGCCGGAAGAGCTGGAAACCCGGAAGTAAGGGAGGAAGCACCGTGCTAGTAGGGTGGTGAGGGGAATGGAAAATTCTCCAGAGCCTCGAGGGAGGGCTCGATCGATCGTTAAGATCGCGAACGAGGTGTCGACGTCTAACCACTGGCAAATTTCCACCGGCTTCTTTCATTCTTCTCGTCTCGAGTCTTTGTGATTGCTCGCAACGAATTTTGCTGATAGCTCTTATTACACTATCAAATTGTTTCAAAAATTTCCCATTTTACTTCAGCTAATATTTCGAAATATTTTTCGAATTTACAAAAACTTTTTAGATTCACGTTTCAAACATTAATTATGACGTATCTACAAGTTTTGGATTTAAAAACTGAAACACATTTGGGGTACACTCAACTTTAAATTTTCTTTTACTAAATTTTTTAATAATAAAGCAACATAACCTTATTCAAGCTGGTTTTTTCTTTTTATCAAATATAAGTTATACGAATAGTTACGCGATATCTTATAGTTTTTTACCTTTATGGCATTTTCTACTAGAATTAATTACAACTTTGAAACATAAAGGGAAAATAGTTGCAAGTTTTAGTTGAACTATAATATATAAACATATTTTATACGTGGACAAGGAGGTATATAAACGTGTCAATGTGCAGCTGCGTATTATTTCGTTTTTATACGTGTAAATTCTATTCTCGTACAGTAAATAAAAATAGTTGTGTTGTTTTATTTAATGAAAATGCATTTTCTAATTCACTGCTAGGTAAAGCTATTTTATTTTATACATTATAAGAAAGTAAAGTAATATATACCTATGTGTAAGTGTTGATATTTATTAGGTACGTCGCATAATTTGCAATAAACAAATTTCTGTTATTGTGTAAATATATTTTCTATCTTAACAGTCCATTGCACAACATTTAGAATATTAATTAATTAATTAAATTATGGATATATTTTTTATATTGTTATTCTTTTGGAATAGAGAGCGTAGAAGTGGAAATTTGTTTTCTTTTTCATTTCTCGAAATTTCCGCATAGAGTGCTGTTCATTGATAATTCATGAAAAAAAAAAAGACGATTTTATATGTATTATTAAGTACCTCTACTTTAATGATATCCGTATTATGAAGTAAGGAAAAATTTTTGTCAGTGTTGAAAGTAAAAAAATAATTACCTACTTTGCTTCAATCGCAATTAATTATCCATCAATTTTGGGTACACGATGATTAGCTAGATATGATTTGTTACCTAATTAAATATACATTTGCACGTGGAATATTTAACTGCGGATGACTCATGATATATGTAAAAAGGATACCACACTCCGCGATTTCATTCACAATACAAATTGTTATTTTCACGTAATTTCATGCAAATATAATAAAATAAACAGGCAACCTTATTGAAATGTTAACATAAGAATTGTAGAGTCGAATTGTTTGCTTACGCTTCCTCATTAAAAGATGAGAAAACTGTAATCTTAACGCACGATCTAAAGTATAAGTATTAGTAGTAATTCAAAACCAGATCATGTAGTACGTTTCCTGATTTCGTTTTACGTGACACATTTGTTTTATCACGAACGTAGAATCATAATGGAATGAATCACTGTTATCAAAGGTGTTAACCACTTTTCTATTCGACAATTCAATGAAACCTGTGAATTTGGATTTTCCCAGAAAAAAAATGATACACTACGCTGAATCCAATAAAAAGTTCCTGCATGTTTCCTTGGAACTGTGTACTCTACTTTTAAGATGAACGTTTCATCAATATAAATGAAAATTACAAACGAAAAAAGTCTGGATAATTTTCCTCGTACAAAGTTCATTTATTCAGAACGCTTAATGCAGTTCGAAAATCGTTCTTCTGGCTCGTATTACTGGCTCCTACCTCTATCGCTGTTGCAAGTATTTAGGACAAGAATATAGAGACCAGCAAATAGCAAAATATAACAGAAAAAGGAAGGAAAATTTCACAATTTTTAAATAATCATCCAGGATAGAAAGAAAATACGCGTAAGTTCAAAGAAAACAAGTGAATCCCGTAACGAGGAGCATTCCAGAATATGTGTGTTTGTTTCTCTCTTTGTTGCTCGGCAAAGAAGAGAACCGGTCTGTATCCGGACCGGAAGTGCGAACCTTGGACTTCTCTTTTTCGCTATCCCCGTCTTGTTCTTTGTCTTTCCTTCAGGGAGAGAAGGAGCGGTCAATTCGATCTTCTTCTCTCCTTCGATCTCCTCTTTCGCGTGTCTCTTGCTTCCTTCTCTCTTCCTCTCTTCTTTCGGTGCTGGTAAGCCGTCTCTAGAGAGAGGTGTGTTCCTTCTTTCTCGTTCG